TTCGGAGACCTTGGCCTTTAGAAATATGTCAATGTGAATTCCACCCACATGTGTGCCCCTGCTTTTTCTTTTCTTCTCCTATTTTATCAAAAGCAAGCTCTTTAAATGCTGATTTATTCAAGCCTAATTATACACAAATGGATTATATGAAAGCATACTTTCTATGAATAACAAATAGTTTCATTATTGAAATGTCCATCCTAAACCTGTTGTAAGAAAAGCAATCTCCTGGTTTTGTCCACCCAGGTTTTACTCCTGCGCTGATAGATGAACAGACATCTCTTTGGTAGAAAGTGCTCACAAATATTCCAGCCATTTCTCTTGGGGTTACATATGCAAACCCAAAACCCCAGCCATAATGTTGGAGGAAACACTATATAAACAATCCATGCAGACTATCCTACAGACTGTCTATTTGAAGGGAAAGCTCAAAGTTGACTGCTTTAACCAAAAAGGGCACACATTCAGTTGTAAACCTTAATAGTAGAGTGTTTGGCCATTGCTGTGTACTATGTAATACACCTGGCTTTGGATCCTGCTCTAAAACCTATTCTCAGACTGAGTAATGGGAGTTTTGATGGTCGTTCAAGAGACAGTTTCCAGGCGCTCATCTGCTATTTGCGATGCCATTTTGTAGACCTTTCTGGGCTCAGCAGCTTTAAATGTGGAAATGCTCTGAGCTGCTCCTCATCCATCTGTGTTCAGTATGTCTGAGCATGTAGCTCTAATAAATATGCTGATGGATTTAAAAAGCATTAAGTGAATGGGAATCCACTGAGAATCAGAGTGCGGACTTAAGGTTAAAGAGCAGCCCAATAGATGCTTCTATATTCAAGCCTCTGTCTCGCTTAAATTGACTGCCGTTGACTTATGAGCTTAAAGTAACCAAGTCTCTATATAGTGAAGCCTGAGCCACAACCATACCTATTGCTGCCAAATGTTTTGACTGGTTTGTATGATTGAGGCTAAAGTTACAGTACATCAGGCCAGAGGTTGTTATGTTCTTACTTTATTCCTGAATTTCATTCTGTGCCAACAATTGGCCTCTTTCCACCAAATAGTGACTGTAAAATCTGGAGCAACAGGAAATTCCAGGAACTAAACCTTGAAAAGGAAACGTGAAATGTGCATCTCTTTAAAAGACCGGGGAAAAAACAAATAATGATGATCTGCTGAATGAAAAGGTGTCTTAGTAAACAAGTTGTATCAGCGTTCAGGCTTTCATTCGACTAATCCACAATGATCAGCTGTGCAAAACACGCCCCGATAGGACATTTCCCATTTATAAAGTACAGTTCCAAGGTCAGGGACATTTGGGGCTCAGGAAGTGTGGCACAGGAACTATATTAAGACCTGTGCTACTAAAAAAGGTTTTCTAAATGAGTCTACTTTCCTGAAAAGGTTAATGTAGTGGAAATTAGTTACATGACCTTCTGTCAGGACATACCTCTTCTCCATAGCTTTTGTTATGTCATGTCAACCATGTCTGACATCTTGCAGCATGTGTGGCGCTCCTGTCCTGTTCCAAACAAGCCTGCTGTAAATGACTCATTAGTCCAGTCCATTTCTCCTATTATAGTCCACAGGTGTGACATCAATGCGCTGAAAGGTTATTCTCGGTTCTGTGATTGGGGTTCTACTTGTCCCCAACTCACTGTTGGATCCTGCGGTCCTCTGGAGCAAAACGGTGGCCATCTGAGCTGCTCTGTGTTATTTTAGCCTTTGAAGGTAATGGCAGGAGATCTATGTGATGAATGGCCTTTATGAGGGCAGAGTATCGATGGATTGATGGCAGCAAGCTGAGGCTGTGGGAAGTGGAACATCAGCCTGAATATATTACCGCCCCCTTCTCCTTGATTCCTTTCCACTCTTGTATTTTTCTTTTATCCATCACTCTGTCTCTTTCTTTCCTCTGCCCTCTCTTCTCCTGCTCAGCTGTCTGTGACTGGTCATTAACACACACATTAAGCACTCTGTGAATCCATAGCTCCTCCATCTCTTTACTATTGCCCATAAAACCGAGCAGCAGCCATAATGACACACACAACGGCCACACTTGACTATCAGGGTTGGGGAAAAAGTGCCTCCTATGTAACTGGCAAAAGCAAAGCTATTAGAGAAGAGTCAATGGGTACATTATGTTGGCATATAAATTAGTGTCAAGAGGCTCTCAATATTTGTTGAGTGTTTTCTCAGCAAAAAGTTTGCGTACAGTGAGATTTGTGATGATAAAATATAGAAACAGTGATGCAGGAATGTGTAACGTAAAACTAATAGAGAGAAAGCTGACTTTATAGAAGCACATAACAGTGATGCTTGTCACTCTCTACCTGCTGTATTCTTTTGGGTTTGCCATACTGCAATTATAAATCCTCAGCCTCTACTGCTTTATGTTTTCTGACTGCCACAAAGAGAGTATTATCTCTTATCACCTAAACTTACAGTAAGGGAGATCTACAGCAAATATAATGTGATGTGGTAGTACTAAAGAGGACTTGGGAACAAAAAGATAATCACTCCTCAGTTTCTCTCCCACATCTTGTTCACCTTGAGCCGATATGAATGATACATGCCTTGAACATACAACTGCGCTTCAGTCCATAATTCATCGACTTTATACTGTATACAAAGTGCAGGACTAACAGTGTTTATTTTAATACACAAATCCATGAAGGGGAAATGGATGCAAAGGGAAGGGACCAGGGACCAGGGAATTCCATTATCAGCAAGGTGACAGGTGATGATGCCTTCCATACTCTGGCAAGGTCAGAGAGATGTCATGGAGTAGTGCATGTGATATATTTGATTTAAATGATGTAAACGGTTTGCGGGAAAGGCATAGAAACAGAAATAGAAAACCTAGGCAGAGAGTATTGATGTGACTGCAGGGCATGTGCTGCGTATGTAGATAGTGTTTTTGCTTCTTAAATGCATGCGTAACATGCATTACAACTCTAAATCTCAGAGTAATCAAATGTTTAGAAACCTACGGAAGCAGAAATGTAATGTGCAGCCTCAAGCCCATCAGCAGTAAAAGAACAGCCAGCAAATCAATATGTGGTAAATCATCACATTATAAACAGGAGGCATTAGATCAAGACAAATCACTTTAAGCATATAAGGAAACTCAACGGCAAAGTTTAATTTGTGCACCTGTAATAGTTTTCGTTTCCTTTGACACAATGGTGACACTGAATATCTACCGATGAGGAAATAAGAAAAAAAATGCAGCCAATGAGTTTCTGGACAGATTTCAGACGGGCATTATCGCAGACGCCCCGGGCATCTCTCTGGCGTGAAATATGGTGGTCATTTGGCTAGACGAGGAGCGGTGAGGACCCCCTCCTAGACTGGAGCACACGGGTGCAGAGGAGCCTAGGGCTGGCTGTATTAATGAACAGGCAGTGCTGAAAGGGACAGGTTCCTGTAATGCTGATGAATGGTCATTATAGAGCAGAGACGAGAGAAGAGAGCAGAAGGCGAAGAGAGTAGGGGGGAGAAGAGTACAGCGAAGTGGGCACTGAGGGAGCAGCGGTGAGAAAAGGCTTTAATTTGCACCTCAGATTTCTGTAAACTCGTTTATCATGTCAGCGGTGTCACTGTTCTCCAGGTGTCTTCTCCCCCTCCCTCTTTTTGCCCAGATCAAAACATGCTTGTTTGTCTCCACATATCCTTCCTCCAAATTGTATTTATCATCCTTGTTTGTGTACAGTGTGTCTTCAAACCCCAAAACACCTAGTACATATATGAAGTGTCACATCATTTGTATGGACTCATCCAAGATTTCTGAATCTTTTCCATCATTTGGCTGGTTGTTCAGGCTGTATGTGGAGAGTTCATGTGTTCACCTCTCCATTAGGCCTGATTGAGCAGCTGGGACTTTAAAGGTCAGAAGAAGGAGGAAAGACCAGGAGATATATGCTCAGAATAAACATGGACTGACTGGAGGCCTACTTACTTCACATAGACCTCATTACCTTCTCCTGGCCCACAGCTGTTTGGATCATTGGGAGGGGGCGTATTTGGGGAAATGAGTCCGTCAGCTGAGCTTTTGCTTAGAATAGTAGTAAAAAGAATAGCCTTATATTACAAAGAGTGAAAGTGACATGAGAATACATTCTTCCCTCTGCCTCAACAAATACTCTTTAAAGTCAGTGTGGCTTTTAAGTGACTGTCGTAACGCATATGGCTCATGTTTGTTTTTTCAGTCTGCTCTAAATCTGTATGCCAAAGTATAACAGACATTCTCATCTGAAAGCGAGCTTCTAGACAAGCATCTTTTGATTTCAGTAATTTCTCTTCCAAATTCTTAGTGATACCAGCCAAATGGTAATGGCACATTTTCATCATAATGTTGTGCACTGAGTGTATACCCCAAGGGGCTTCTGGTGCTCATCCAACATACTTTCTGGGTCACACCTGCAAGAAATGGCCCGCAGTGTATTTCAGTTCCGTCCGCAGGCAAATGCCTTTCCATCATACCGGCTCTTGGCTGCCATGTACCAGCCCCCGTCTGTCTAATTATAATTCAATAGTGCATAATCTTGAATTTGTTACACACCATAGTTTATAATTCATCAGCTCTGTGCCTAGCCACGCACAGCATAGATGGCAAATAGCAGTACATCCAAAGTAATTATGAGGTTTGTGCTTATAGGGGCCGTACAAATAGAAAGGCAGTTTTGCGTATTTGGAGAACAAGTCGGCAACGTGGTATGTTTTGCTGTGGCTGCTCCTAAATAATTGTTTATAATTCAGGAAAGAAGGATATTTGTGTATTCTCAATGGTTCAATAAGCCCCAGAGCACAACAGGCTGAGTCCTTACTGTTAATCCAGGAAGTATAGACTCAAATGTGTTGCCTTAGGAAGATCATTGATGTGTGTACCAATGCTCTCAGTCAACATGAGCTCACTCGATTAAAACATTTGCAACCCATTCTTTTCACCGATGATTACTAATCAACCATTTGTACTCTTCTCTTTCCTTCTCTCTCTGTAGTGGGAGGAAGTGAGTGGCTACGATGAAAACCTCAACACAATCAGGACCTACCAGGTGTGTAATGTCTTCGAGCCTAGTCAAAATAACTGGCTCCTCACCACCTTTATTGATCGTCGTGGAGCACAACGCATCTATGTGGAGATTCGATTCACCGTGCGTGACTGCAGCTCCATCCCAAACGTCCCCGGCTCATGCAAGGAGACTTTTAATCTCTATTACTATGAATCTGATGCTGTCATTGCCACAAAAGGCACCGCCTTCTGGATGGAGGCCCCTTACCTCAAGGTAGACACCATTGCTGCAGATGAAAGCTTCTCGCAGGTGGACTTTGGCGGACGCCTGATGAAGGTCAACACAGAAGTGCGGAGCTTTGGCCCATTGTCTAAAAATGGCTTCTACCTGGCGTTTCAGGACTATGGCGCTTGCATGTCTCTGCTGTCAGTCAGAGTGTTTTATAAGAAGTGCCCAAGTGTGGTCCAGAACTTTGCAATCTTTCCAGAGACCATGACAGGGGCTGAGAGCACCTCTCTGGTAATTGCAAGAGGAATCTGCATTCCCAACTCAGAGGAAGTAGATGTCCCGATAAAGCTGTACTGCAATGGAGACGGCGAGTGGATGGTTCCTATCGGTAGCTGCACATGCAAGGCAGGGTTTGAACCTGACAACGGCAACGTCTGTCGAGGTAAGTCTCGAGATACATTTGTCATTTACATCCTATGGTTGCTTTTCAAACTGACTTTGATAGCTGCATGCCCCCTACTCATAAATGATTTTCTTTTCATCATTCACTCTCTCTTAAAATGATCGACTACTCATAACAACGACAAATAAGACAGGTGACAGGAATTTGAGCTATTTTAGGCTTTCATATCACACAGCTTTAGCATACCTTGCATCACAGCTGTTTGTATCATTGGAAAAGCTGAATTGATTGTGTTTTATGTGTTTTGCTGAGCAAGATGTGCCGCGCTTCTTCTTTGATCACATCCACCTCTGGCAGACTAGAAAGGCACATTAGCATTGATTTTTAATCTGTAGCGAATGCCAGCCTTCTGTGCAGCCTACTTTACAGATGGCAGGAGGTTTGGTTTTGCCTCAGTAGGATATGCCGAAGACTGAGTTCTGAGGAATAGAAAATGGTACACACATAAAGAGGAAGTTCATCTGGGCTTCGCTTAAAGCCGTCACTCGCTCTCTCTTTCTGTCTGTCCTCTAATGCACCTTTACTCTCTGCAACCTGGTATTCTCGCACACTCACACACACCAATACAAAGAGACAATTTGCTCAAGGTGTCTGATGATAATATGAGTGGCTTGGGGCTCTCAGTGTGACGCAGTATTGGTCGGCCCGCCTCTGGAGGTTAGCTGGAGAGTGTGTGGAGCCCAGATAAGATTGATTGGCGCACATCTGCTCTGATCAATAAAACAGATATGAGAGTGACACATATCTACAAAGCACACTGTGTGTGACTGTGTTAACTGTATCCTTCTCGCATTGCTCTATGTCCTGTGCAAAACACTCCCACACACTACTACACACACACACACACACACACACACACACACACACACACACACACACACACACACACACACACACACACAGACCTTGACTAAGATAGAAGGACATTCAAGTGAAAATGATAGATACCTTTAGTTAGCTCATTACTGGCAGTCATCATTTCACATCTAACTTTGCCATCACATCTCAATACAACTGTGTTTTACTTTGTTCACAGGTCATTTAATTTTATATTACTTTGTTTCTCCTACAATGTTTATATGTTGCCGCACTGCAAGGTACATTAATTTACATATTTGAATAGCAAATGTGTAGTCTCTAGCCCACACCTTAGGAAAAAAGTATTTTGCTTCATTATGTGCAGTCAAATATTTTACCAATAGCAGACTTCTTTTACCTGCTGTGAATCATTTGTTCCAACTGTTTGGTATCATTTCAGCATCATAGTGTTTTAGAGACATTTTCAAGCTGAAGTTTTAAACTGATGAACAAAAATTCAGCAGAGTATGAGCACTGAACTTAAAGAAGCAGTGTGTTATCTGAAGTAATATATGTTCCACTATAAAATATAACTGCATTGGGTAATTTTATTTATATTCTTATTAAATGTACTTTTATCTAATAATACCAACATGATGAAAGATGACGCAATTACATAAACGTTGGATTGACTAGCTCCATTTAGACCAGTTTTTACTTATATATACCAGTATGTTGGTTGAACATGTGAGGCAAATGTAGAAACAGGAATATTATATATCAAATGAGCAAAGTAACCTTGCCTGTCCTCAAGCAAACACACCTTGAGGCTAAAATGAATGAATATGTGTTGCCCTTCAAGCTTATTTGATGCTCATCCAGGTATCTTATGTGTCTACTCGTTTTCCATAGAATTTCCTTTTTTTCTACCATTATTTCCCTCAACCTTCTTACAGAACAGTAATTAGAGCCTAACGAAATCCCTGAGTGTTGCTAGAAGGCTTGTTGTGGCTTGTGTTAGTGGGGGGCATTGGCACTGTAAACAACACAAACACACATTGGTAAGTACACATACAGTTTGCAAACTGCACTACATAAACTCTTTGAACAGACGAAAGCATGTATATATCCACTAATACCCACAATCCCCCTGATTTCCTTCTCTGAGTTCCCACAGTAAGTACACTTCCTGCTGTGTTAAGTTTGACATGTCTCACTCAGACTGAAATGTAGCATTGTGGGAGGTGCAAAAAAGGAACGCAATGAGAGCAATAGGGTAAGGAAATTTGGAGGGAACATTTTATTTAGATTTATTTATTTGTTTTTTATTTATTTATTTTTTGTTGAGTTCAAGCTACATCAAGAAACCACAAACCCTTTATTTAAGCATCAGGACATACACAATATAGAAAAAGAGTTAGACAGAATAACAGAAACAGATGATGTTGCTGTTTTTATCTCTCATAACCAGCTTACTCTCTGGAGACTCATATGGAAGCTGTTCTCCTCTCATCTCCACCGAGAGGTCCCTCCAATAAAAGCAATCCAAACCTTTTATTTTCCACAAAGACTCTTTTCATGGGTTTGTAATCCATTATTTAAACAGGGAAATCTAACCTTAAAGTGCTTGTGGAAGCTGAGTACGATGGGCAACCAATCAATCGGGGGTTGGTGCAATAACATGGCCTCAGCATTGGGTCTGAAGTAATTGCCCATTATAGATGAAGTAACAGTACAAGAACAAATAGAATATGAGAGCACACTGACATCATTTCACTCATTGAGAGCAACATGAGAAGGAAAGGTATTACAGGGAAAGGAAAGGCATCGTGAAGCACATAGGGAAATCAAAACGTGAAAACAAATAGTTTGTTTTGACAAATGCAATACGCTGGTACTGTTTTACAATATTGTTGGAATATATTATAGGTAAAAGTGTGCATACATGTTTTCCTTCTCAACACCTCTTTTGTTGGATATGTGAACATTTTCCGTTTGATGTATTTTCTTTATGCTGGGTGAGAGCTGATACAGCTGCTGTGTCAGTCAGTCACTTTTTAGATGACAAATACAAAAAAGTAAGTCATTTGTTACGACAGAGAAATGTAACCTAATTGCAGTTGTGTGTGCTTGTGTGTGTTTGTTTGTACTGTGTCAGTGTGTGTGTACGACTCCCTGTACCTGATTGCGCTTTCTCTAATCTATATGTTTTAATTAGTGACAGGTAGTGTGGCGTGTGTGTGCGGCCTCCTGTCAGCTGGGCAGAGAGACCATGTCGAGTTGTTGTGCTCTGTAACGATGATGCCAGCATGTCATCCTCATTACCTGCTCCCCAGCTCCCACAAGCCATTTGAGTATCTCTCTCTCTCTCTCTCTCTCTCTCTCTCTCTCTCTCTCTTTCTCTTTCTCTCTCGCTCTCTCTTTTTCTCCCTCTCTCCCCCCTTGGCTATGTAAGCAATCTGCTAAATATTTTATTACCTCCCTGTTAAATTGAGCGGAGACAATACAAATAGCACCCCACTACCTCTACCAACGCAAAGCTTTTCCTGGGTGTGTGTCCTGCTCAACTTAAGTGTCTAAGAAACACTGATTTGGTAGATTTACTGAACCCTCTCATGACCATTTTTGCGGTATCAAGCTGTGTGATTTATAGAATCACCTTTATTAGGTTTGCTTCACATCCATCTTTGCATGTGTTTTTTCACAATATCATATCATCATTGATCATTTTAATGTTCCTCGTATTATCAAATATGAAGTGATGAAAACTCCCTGGTAAACTAATTATTCTGACTTTGGTCTGCCTGTTCATAATTTTGCTGTTTTTCTTTGCTGATGAATGCCGCCGGCCTGTAGTCCATAAAGCTGGCAGTCTTATGCTATGCTGGAACTGGAAACTGTGATAAGGGCAGAGGAGTAAAAGCTTTAACATTGAGGGAACATTGTTTTAGTTATTGATTTTTTGCAAAGATTGGATTGAAGTGAAATACGATAATTAGAAACTTAATGACAAATATTATAATCCGAAATACTTTCTGTTTACTTAACCATGAAACTCATGGAATCTAATGCACTATCCATGATGATGTATTGATTTCTCACCAGAGCAGTCCCATATTCCTAGTATGAATCTTCTCATATTTTCTCTCACCGTTAGGCTTCGGCGGGCTTTTGACACTGGCACATTAATATTACAAATATTCAAATAACTTTATTTAACATTCAGCAGGCTGACAGTGGCAGCAGGAGATTCACAGCCCATTGAGCAAGTGCGCTTCCCTGGGCTAAGTGCCGATTCATCATGGCTGCCTTACTCCTGTCTAATGGCTGCCATCATGGGGCGTGAGCACACACACGCACATAAACACACATATCTGGCTCAGAATAAGTGCTAGTTCTTTCGCCTGACCATTTAAAAATTGTAAAATGTAGTGAGTGACATTATCATATTATCAACCCTAGCCTGAATAGTGAATAACACTATTTTAAAATGTTATCCAAAAGCCATGGTGAATTTATTTAAAATCAAGCTTTAGAATATTTGGTTCCACAGAGGATTTCATTACTCCTTGTCTTATCTGAGTGTAAAAGATCTGGCAGATAGTACCCACACAGGTCCGGTAAGCTATTAGAGCCAATTCCAGCCCATTTGGCCTTGTCTACTTCCGTTCCACAGGGTTTACTTTATTTGCAGAGAAGCATCCATGTGTACTCAGCAGCACACACTGAGTCACCTTGAAGCACAATTAAGTAAGTGTCCGACTCTTCCTGTGCCTATTAGTCGTATGGCAGTGAGGATCACTGTGATGAAGACGGGGGGAAAAAAGTAGTGGGGCGGAACAGAAGAAGAAAAGCTGTAAGAAAGGGCATAGACTGAAATACTTCTTGTTTCCATAGCTCTCAATGGGCTGAATGGGGGAATGGCAGAGCGCAGTGGTGAAAGAGGGTGACCCAAACAAAGACTCTTTGAATCTAAGGCCCAAATAGAATGTTTGTTATGACCCCAAACACAGATGCGCTGCTCTCACTGCAGACTGAGTCAGTCCCTAATAACGCAAGGGGAATCCAGAGATTGTGTTCACACATAATGGAAATACCCACCACACACAGAGCTGTTCTTATCTCCTATGGAGGGACACACACTTTGAGTCCTATTCTTTTTCAGTATCTCTGTCTTTTCT